CGAAAGTAGGGGATCGAATGACGCCACAACACAAGTTGATCACAGTACCAGACGGTGCGGACCCTGAGTCTGTCAAGGATTTAATGCACGCAAACCGCCTTGAACGTGTTATTGTTGTTGGGGATCATTTTGAACTCAAAGGTCTAGTCACTGTCAAAGACATTCAAAAATTTAAGGAGCATCCTAGAGCCTGCCGAGATGATACAGGACGGTTACGTGTCGGAGCCGCGGTGGGTGTAGGAGCGGATAATGAAAAGCGGGTAGATTTGCTCGTTGCCGCAGGGGTCGATGTCATTGTCGTGGACACAGCCCATGGGCATAGTCAGGGTGTGCTCGATCGGATTACTTGGGTAAAGCAAAGATATCCAAACGTGCAGGTTATCGGTGGCAATATCGCTACTGCTGCTGCAGCAAAAGCCCTTGTTGCGGCAGGTGCTGATGGCGTTAAAGTTGGCATTGGTCCCGGTTCTATTTGTACTACCCGTGTTGTAGCGGGTGTTGGGGTTCCACAAATTACTGCGGTTTCCGATGTCGCAGAAGGTTTGGTTGGGACGGGTGTTCCTGTTATTGCTGATGGCGGTATTCGATACTCTGGAGACATAGCCAAGGTGCTTGCTGCTGGGGCGAGCGTTGTCATGTTGGGCGGATTATTAGCAGGTACTGAGGAAGCTCCTGGCGAGGTCATCTTGTACCAAGGTCGCTCTTACAAAACGTATCGTGGCATGGGCTCAGTGGGTGCAATGAAAGAGGGGGCAGCCGATCGCTATTTTCAAGAAGCGGATGCAAACATTGACAAACTCGTTCCTGAAGGTATAGAGGGGCGAGTCCCTTACAAGGGGTCAGTAACGGCGGTCCTTTATCAGTTAACAGGGGGGGTGCAAGCCTCACTGGGTTATTGTGGCTGCCGCAATGTTGATGAATTGCACCAAAAAGCGGAATTTGTTGAAATTACGGCTGCCGGCATGCGAGAGTCTCACGTTCACGACGTGCAGATAACAAAAGAAGCACCAAACTATCATGTTGAATAATGATATAATTCACTCTTTCGCACTCTTTAGGAGAAGATAATGATTTGGTTGTTACGCATAGTGTTATTTATTAATGGTTTGATTATGGCCATTTTGGGTGGTTCGATTTTTATGGCCTCTGCACTCAAGCAAACCTATGTGATTGCAGTACCACTCCCAGTACCAGAAGTTTATGGACATTTAATGGGTATTTCTTGGCTCGCAATTGCGTGGCTACTACTGCACGCGGCTATTACCAAGCATAGCGCAATGGTGGTGGGGCGTAAATTTGGCATAATGGCGATTTTGTCGGCCTGTTTTATCGGGTACTTTGCCTACAATAATCATCAAACCTTAAGTCAATCTGGTGTTTATATGGTAGGCGGAGGAGCTGCGATTATTTTAGTTTTAGGTCTGCTCGAAGTGTGGTTGGTCGGTGCCATCAAATTGAGCATGGCACGCAAAGCTTATGCAGAAAAAGTTCTTAAAAAACATGGCCATAATAATGAGGTGGCTATTGAGGGAGACCAAGCTTCCCCTAATAATGCGTTAACCAATAACGCGGTCGATGTCGTTGACACAGAGGTCGTAGCTCAAGCCGATGGGTCCGATAACAAAGAGGTGATCGAATCCTATGCCGTCACGCCTTTAGGGGATGGCACGGCAGATAGCTCTGCATTAGATGATCAAAAGAAAAAAGGTTGGCGCTCAATGTTCTGATTGTCGGGTTGTTTTCATACCAATTCTCCGTCAAAGTGTTATGACAAATGACAAATGACAAATGGCGACGAAGACATTACTATAGTAAGGCTAGGAGCCATGACAAAGTAGCCCTTTGATGGAGAATTGCTATCAAGCCAGCTTTATGACAAAAAGAGGCGCGTAGGGTAGCTATGCCAAAGGATTTACCTCAATAGACAGGGCGTTGCTGACGCCCTTTTTGTTGTTTTTTGCAATAAAATTATTTTTAATACCAATTCTCCATCAAAGTGCTGCGCGAAATGGCGATGAAGACATTACTGTAGTAAGGCTAGGAGCCATGACAAAGTAGCGCTTTGATGAAGAATTGGTATAAGACTTGAATATGGGAATGGGGTAACCTTGTACAAAGGTAACCACCGACAATCAAAATATGGCTTTATTGATTTTAGGTTGTCTATGGTATTTTGAAGATCCAACGTGGAAATTATCCAGTAGTGTAAAGAGGTTTTATGAATCAAAGGGATGCCATTTTAATTTTAGATTTTGGCTCACAAGTCACGCAGCTTATTGCACGTCGTATCCGTGAAGCGAAGGTCTATTGTGAAATTCACCCACATGACGTGAGTGAGGATTTTCTTAAGGACCTTTTTAATAATCAGTCGATCAAAGGCATTATTCTTTCTGGTGGTCCCAATTCTGTCTACGAAGAAGCCGCTTTAACTGCAAGTTCAATGATATTTGAATTGGGTGTGCCCATTTTAGGGATCTGTTATGGGATGCAGTGGCTTAATCAACATCTGGGCGGGCAAGTTCATGCAGCGACACACCGTGAGTTTGGTCATGCCAATATCGAAATTTTACATGACTGTCCACTATTTAACGGCATTACCACTCAAGGCGGACGCAAACTTCACGTCTGGATGAGCCATGGTGACCATGTCACAGCCTTGGCACCAGGGTTTACTGTTTTAGCGAGTACGCCCTCTTGTCCAATTGCGGCTATGGGTAATGCCCAACGCCATATCTATGGCATTCAATTTCACCCTGAGGTGACTCATACGCCCGATGGTCAGGCGATGCTTGATAACTTTGTTCGGGGTATTTGCCAAGCTGCTCCCAACTGGACCATGCACAATTATATTGATGAAGCGATGGATAAAATCCGCTCCCAAGTGGGAGGGGAGGAAGTTATTCTGGGGCTTTCTGGGGGAGTGGATTCTTCGGTTGCCGCCGCATTAATTGCTAAAGCGATCGGATCACAATTGACTTGCGTTTTTGTTGATCATGGTTTGTTGCGCTTAAATGAGGCCCAGCAGGTCATGGAAACTTTTGCGAATCATCTAGGGGTCAAAGTGGTTCATGTAAACGCTAAAGATTCGTTTATGCAAGCATTAGCCCATCAGTCTGACCCTGAAATGAAACGCAAAATTATAGGCAAGGCTTTTGTTGATGTTTTCCAAGCGGAGTCCCAGAAATTGACGCAGGCTAAGTGGCTGGCACAAGGGACGATATACCCTGATGTGATTGAGTCTGCTGGTGCAAAAACTAATAAAGCTCACAAAATCAAAAGCCACCACAATGTTGGTGGGCTTCCCGAGGATTTGTCCTTAAAACTGCTTGAGCCTTTGCGCGAACTCTTTAAAGATGAGGTGCGTCAGTTAGGCCTAGAATTAGGCTTGCCTAGAGAAATGGTTTTTCGTCACCCGTTTCCTGGACCTGGCTTGGCGGTGCGTATTTTAGGGGAAATTAAGCCAGAATATGTGACGCTATTGCAAAAAGCAGACGCTATTTTTATTGAAGAGCTTCGCAATACCGTCGATCCCACAACAGAAAAATCGTGGTACGATTTAACCAGCCAAGCTTTTGTGGTTTTTTTACCCGTCAAAACAGTAGGCGTGATGGGTGACGGACGAACCTACGATTACGCGGTAGCCTTAAGAGCTGTGATCACAACGGATTTTATGACCGCTCACTGGGCCCATTTACCTTACGACTTGTTGGGCAATGTTGCGAATCGCATCATCAATGAAGTACCCGGCATTAATCGGGTAACCTACGATATTTCAGGAAAGCCCCCCGCTACGATAGAATGGGAGTAGAGCAGTATTTTTATAAGGGCATATTGATTTTTCGGGTTTTGGTAACTTTGCTGCTATTGACCCTGCAATTAAAGGTTGAAGCTGTCAACCCTTAAACTACAGGGCATTGTTAGGCAAATATATCAACCTTTAGTTGCTGTTTCTATAATCTGTGCTTGTCATTTCAGCTAACAACTTAATTGCAAAACAAAAATCAAAACTTTGTTTGCGCAAAAAAGCGACAGGGAATTCCATACTTATCCTAATACCAATTTCCGATCAAAATACAACGCCAAACGGCGATAAAGACCTTGTTATGGTAGGGCTCGGAGCCAAGCCCCTTAATTTGTATGAGAAATTTCTAATGGCAGCCATTGGAACAACCGGTTGTTTTTATTTGGCTTTAGGTGTCTAATGAAAATCTGAGATCATCTGATGCGCGATTGCTACTAAATGAACATGTTACACCCAGATAGTACCCCCCCTGTTAGGAGGGGTTGAATTTTTAGTCTATCGCAAACACTTTATTTTTTGCCGCCGCCTTTTTTGCCGCCATTGCTATTAGATTGGGAAGCCATGGTCGATTGCGGGTTGAAGCTAGGGTTACTTGGATCAAAAACATTACGTACTCCGGACACTACCATTCGACCGTCTTGGCCAACAAATGTACCACTCCATTGGTCAGCAGTGCCGTCAATCGTGCGACCGCTCGATTGCAATTTACCACCGCTATACCAATAGTTGTTGTTGTCAAGAACGCCACCTGTGATGTCGCGTAAATTTGCTACTAGTTTCATATCGATATCCTTATCTTGAGTGAATTACTTTTTACCTTTTTGTTTACCTCCGCCTGAAGAGGCAGGTGGACGAGGATCAAATACCGTACGATTGCCTTGAACAATTAGCTGTCCATTGGAATCCCAAAGCGCTCCACTCCATGAGGTCGCAGGACCAGTGAAGTGAATCCCTGAGTGGGCTAACTCGCCAGAAGGCAAGTACCAGTAATTATTAGGATCAAGACCGCCACCGACAATTTGTTTTAGATCTAAAATCTCTTTCATAGTTAAAACTCCATTTAATACACAAAAATTGAAGAGGG